TGAGGCTAAATGTCAGTAATACCAGAGAGATGGTGATTGACTTCAGGAAGAAGAGGACACCTTCAAAGCCACTACAGATCAGGGAGGAGGCTGTGGAAGAAGTGGAGGACTACCGGCTCCTGGGTGTTGTGATCGACAACAGACTGAACTGGGCTTCTAACATGGAGGCTGTGTACAAGAAGACATAAAGCAGACTCTATTTCTTGAGGAAGCTGAGGTCCTTCAACGTGTGCATCAAAATGTTGGAGATCTTTTACCAGTCTGTTGTTGCCAGCACCATCTTCTCTGCTGTCATGTGTTGGGGCAGCAGCATCAGAGCCAGCGGCAGAACGAATAAGATCATTAAGAAGGCTAGCTCTGTCCTTGGTCTCATACTGGACACCTTAGAGACCGTGGTGGAGACGAGGATGCCGATTGAACTTTTATCCATCATGGACAATGACCAGCACCCCCTCCATCACACAGGAGATGTGCCATCACGTTGTACTATCCATCCATTCATCCATCCACTCATCCATCCACCCATCCATTCACTCATCATCCACCCATCCATCCACCCATCCATCCACTCATCATCCACCCATCCATCCATCCACCCATCATCCACCCATCCATCCATCCATCCATCCATCCACTCATCATCCACCCATCCATCCACTCATCATCCACCCATCCATCCATTCATCATCCACCCATCCATCCACCCATCCATCCACTCATCATCCACCCATCCATCCACTCATCATCTACCCATCCATCCACCCATCCATCCACTCATCATCCACCCATCCATCCATTCATCATCCACCCATCCATCCACCCATCCATCCACTCATCATCCACCCATCCATCCACTCATCATCTACCCATCCATCCACCCATCCATCCACTCATCATCCACCCATCCATCCACTCATCATCCACTCATCATCCACCCATCCATCCATCCATCCATCCATCCATCCATCCATCCATCCATCCATCCGTCCATCCACTCATCATCCACCCATCCATCCACCCATCCATCCATCCATCCATCCACTCATCATCCACCCATCCATCCACTCATCATCCACTCATCATCCACCCATCCATCCACCCATCCATCCACCCATCCATCCACTCATCATCCACCCATCCATCCACTCATCATCCACCCATCCATCCACTCATCATCCACCCATCCATCCACCCATCCATCCACTCATCATCCACCCATCCATCCACCCATCCACCCATCCATCCATCCATCCATCCATCCACTCATCATCCACCCATCCATCCATCCATCCACTCATCATCCATCCATCCATCCATCCATCCATCCATCCATCCATCCATCCATCCACTCATCATCCACCCATCCATCCACCCATCCATCCATCCATCCATCCATCCACTCATCATCCACCCATCCATCCACTCATCATCCACTCATCATCCACCCATCCATCCATCCATCCATCCATCCATCCATCCATCCATCCATCCACTCATCATCCACCCATCCATCCACTCATCATCCACCCATCCATCCACTCATCATCCACCCATCCATCCACCCATCCATCCACTCATCATCCACCCATCCATCCACCCATCCATCCATCCATCCATCCATCCATCCATCCACTCATCATCCACCCATCCATTCATCCATCCATCCATTCATCCATCCATCCATCCATCCACTCATCATCCATCCATCCATCCATCCATCCATCCATCCATCCATCCACTCATCATCCATCCATCTATCCATCCAGGGGCTCTGAGAGCCCAACAAATTCTTACATCTTCTACCTGAGTGGCTTCCTTTTTGTTCTGATGGTAACAGGAAGAATGATCCACTTGGTTTTCCTACTTTTCCTCCTAACTTCAGCTGAATGGCTGATGGTTCAACCCAAACTCTGAACTCATCACCTCGTCCAAGTCTCCGTTACCATGGTGATTAAACAAATCTGCTCTGTGATACTTTCTAGAAGAAAGAAAACGATTTTTATATAGCGCCTCTCAAGATAAAAATCATGAGGTGCTTCATAAAAACAAATAATTTAATATAAAAAAAGATTTTAAAATTATTATAAATGTGTTTAAAATGATAAAAAACACAAATAATGTTATTACAAAATGTAAAGAAAGGGAAAGAGAAAATGATTACGAAAAAGGGAAATGGGTGGATCCCGGAAAAGGCAGAATAGGTAGAAAGAGCAGAATAAGGAGAGGGGGGTGACAAAGGTCACGCTGAAGCCTGTTTGGAACCCTCAGCTCAACAGAGTAGCTAGTGAGGACATATTTCTCTTAGTTCATCCTTCAGCTGCTGTCATGTGGTCTGAACATGGACCACTGGTGCAGAATCCAGACAAAAAACGTAAAAGAAGAAAACAAACAGTAAATAAATGCTGGAAAATCAAACTTGAGCACAAAGACAACAAGGGTGATGACAGAGAAGTGAGCACCGTAGTTATTAAACCAACGGGCTAATACCATGAACACACACGTAGCCGGGTTTTTATAGAGCCAAATCCCCCCCCCCCCCCCCCCCAACCCCCCCGTAGGACAAAAATAGGCACACACCATCTTGTTTTCATCAAACCAATCCAGTACATTGTGAAGCACGTTCATCAGCATGCCAAGCCTGTAGGGGGCAGTAGTCCCTAAATCACTGGTGTCTTTGCCCAAAATCATTCCTTTGACATGGAATAACAAGGTTGTGATCCAAAACCATCCATAACGTCGTCCTTCGTCTGTGGCTTTCCACACAGAGCAGTGATTGAGCTTGTAAAAACGTGAGTGAGTGTTTACACAGGTCACACAAGTGATGTCAGAGCCTATATATTCTAGGCAGTGATGCTGCTAAGCCTAAAACCCTGGTTATCCATGGCTATGAGCAAATGCCAATAACAAATCTCCACTTTGGTTGTGTTTTCTGACCCGACCCACCTCTGCATGTGGTCCATCTGGAGGGCCAGTGGCTCTATTCAGTCTCATCACCCTGTCTCCAAAGCCTCACTGAGTGCAGAACAATTGTAATCCAGAATCCATGTGGCTTCTGCACAGACAGCCATTCAGACTGGCTGCAGATAGTGTGTGGAACGTGTTCGAAATCTTGCTCACGAGTTCACGCCAAAACCAATGTGTGTGTAGAGAGATCACGCAGAAGGATTTCTATGCTCCGGATCCGCTCTACATCACAGCTCTGATTGGATTCACTGAAGTTCAGTCTTTGTGTAGGCACGGTTTCCGATCCACATCCATTCTGCGCTCGATGTAAATGTAACGTGAGGAAATATGGGTTTTCTATCACAAAGGTGGTGTTGGACTCAGCTGTGTCAAAGCAGGGTCGCTGAGAACTTTCACCCACAGATTAAGACCTGAACGCCAGCGAGTCTGGGAGGAAACCATAACATCTGCCACCTGCAGTCTACCAGAAGATGTGTTTACATGAGTTGTACCCAGACCAAGTCAAAACATAAAGTTTAAACTTCTTTTTCTTGATTTTAATGTTAAAGTAACCATTATCATTTTGCTCATTATAAATGTGATTAATCAAATGAATGACTATTTAGCTTTGGGGTAATTATAATGGTTTAATGAATCCATTCTTAAATAATGTTGAGAATGTTTGTTACTGACCTTCACACACACTCAAGCACAAACATTCACACACATCCACACACACCTGCTCACAGTAAACTCCAGACACATTTGATGACGCACGTTTGCTTTGAGAAGAGAAAGGTTTTTGGTAAGTTTTCAGTCTTATGAGGCAGTTCGTGTTGGACAACGAGAGAGAACAGACCTGAAAACCAAAGGGGGGGCAGAGCCTGTTGGCTCGTTCTTCCCCCCCTTCTCTCACGCTGTTTCTGCCACGCCAGGCAGAATAGCTGAACCGCAACTTCTAACGCAGACTCATTACCGAGTCTTTTGATTTCTGAGTGAATTAACTTAAGAAAGCGCGTCGACAAAACGCTTTACCATCAACGTGTACCGAGGGGCAACTCTGGACCGGGTCGCAGCGCATCTTTGTCTTCTTTGCCAGCCAAGGTGACCTGGATGAAACATCCTAAGGTGACGTCCCGGGTCCAACAGAGGGTCCGATTTTCGGTGAGGCAAAACACGACAGATAGCGTTTTGATGCATCTTTTCCACTAAACCTAAGTTTATTCAAACCATCACTTCACTCAGACACCTGTTTCTTCCTGAAGCAACATCAGATGCACACATGCATTCATCTCATCTCATGTTCAATTCTCACTACACTTGGCACCCACACGCATCCATAATCACATCATATCACTCTCAATCTTCATTCACCTACAGAAGGTCTATTTGAGCATTAACAGCATATCAACTGTTAAAAAGATTGTCCCACAAAGTTATCAATGTTGATTGTATTTCCTGTTTGTCAATTTCAAAATCATTAGTTTAATTTGAAGAATTAAAACTTTTAAACGTCAAACTGGTTTCCTCATTGAACTGAAACACAGACACTCAGATATTATCGGCAGTTTATGGATGAAAACAACCTTTGAGTCTTCTGAACAATATAAAATTTGGTTATTGATTTATTAAAATTAATATTCCGAATTAATACGTAGCATGGTTTCTCTTTCATAAAAGAGCATAAATCCATAACGCTACATTTAATGGCGAGCGTATCCAGTCTTCTATATCTGCGATATGTCTGATTTCTTACATCTAAAAGCTACAAACAACGCTTTTCTCTGTGTTTCACTTTGATGTCTTATTTTGAACTTAACCGGAAATTGTTCCGCTCACTAAATTCTCCGACCTCAGAACCGAGACTAAATTTGTGAAAACCCTCCCAGGTCAGATAAGAGAAACGTTTTCCCACTTTGAAACTAATTCACATCCTTTTGAGTATTGAAGCCTTTAGATTTAGTTTTGAGTCACTTAGCAGGTCAAATACAACGCATAACGTATTTTACAAGAATGTGCGCTGTACATGTCCAAGACTGAAACCTTTTGGAATATTCTGAAAGAAAAAAAAAATCCGAGTACACATTTGAAGTTTGGTTGAGTTCTTCTCTTTACATTGGAGCAAACACTTTGTCCTGCGGCACCAATACGAGTGTGTTTCAGTTGCCAGAAGAAACACAGATCCACACACCAAGCATCTGGTTTTTACCAAAGGATTGTGTACATTCCAGAGCGTCCTTGTCATTCAGGTCAGGTCCAGGTCATCCTGGCTGATGCCAAATCGCCAACAACATGTGCGCGGTGGCCAGAGGACAAACAGACACCAGGAATTAGTTCAGTTCAATCTGAACTTTTTCTGACTCAGTGAAGATTTCCTTACAAGCTTAAAAAAATCCTTGTCCTGTGTTTTCTGTGTTGTCCTCAAGTCATAATGATGAAAGTCTCACAGACCAAAGAGAGACAGGTCAGACCCTTCTGTGGCTCAAGTCCAACAAAAGCAGAGACATCACTGGAGGCGTGACCAGTACTGGGACATGTCTGCTTCGCTTCCTGGAACTTGGACTGGAACCGAGACACCAGGAGAAATTAGACCTGGTGAAAGTAATCAAGAAGGTTTGGAACAAACGTTAGCAAAAGACACGGAAGCAGTCCACACTGCCATGTTGCTACTTTCATCGTTTCTGTTTGTTTCATTTGTTCAGTCGTCACAACAAACTCTGCCCTGGCGGGAATAAGCATGAAACACCACATCCTACCTGTTGATGTTGCAGAGGACGCCACTGTCTGGCTGCTGAAGTGTGGCTGCATGTGAGGAGGAGTAAATGTCTCATAACTTCGGCCGTTTACAGCAGAGCTGTTTGGCAGCATGCAGGAATAAGAGGTCTGGTTTGATGTCTGGAAGCACAACAATAACATTTATTTGAACAATTAGATTTAATTGACCACCAACTCCTTAAATAAATCATTGGCTGATATTTCTAGTATGTAAACGGATTTATGTGAGAAAGGACAACAGCTTGTGGCCCAGCACCCTACGTTATCCCCTGATGGTAAACCGTGATCCTTGTACTGTATTTTGCTCTTTATGTGTTTGAAATGTGCCTCACAAATAAAGCCGCCTTGCTCTGCCTTACAGGGCCAGTTTAAAAAAGAGACAGGAAAGTAAAAATGTCTTGCTTATCTAAGCTGTAAAGAGCTAATCAGGCATTTCTGCATATAGTGCAGTTGGCAGCAGGTTGAAGGTTCAAATCCTGGCTGCAGCCTTTCTGTGCAGACTTCTCCCCAAGCATGCTCGTCCATCTCCAGGTACCACAGACCAACAGCATGAATGTAGGTAATTATTTAAAAGTGGCTTATTGTTGTTCCTAGTTACACTAAGATGAGCCACTAGCAATAGCTAAAAGCACCCACGCCATGAGTGACTCTACCTGAACAGCCTATGTGCAACATTTCCTTTGCCTGACACCAGCTGTGTTTTTATTGTCTTCTCCCTTTTTTTATTTCATCTTTTTTATGTTGAAGGATCAGCATCTGAAAGCAGCCTTGCCATTATCCCGTCCTGCACAGAAAGGCCCTGGTTTCACAGACCCTGTTACTGTGACATTACAAATAAAGCTTTCTATTCATTTAGGAGGTTTTGTGCGATCCTATAGGAGGATCTCTTTTCATCTTAGTGCGAATGTTTGCAGGCAAAATGCCCGCTATCTAAACACTTTACCATCTAAAGACAGGAGGAGGTTTAGAGAGAAGCTCAAAATCTGTCGTGAAGACAAATTAAAGTTATTAAAAGTCTGTATGAGCTCTGAGATGACGGAAAACGTTGGTCCGATTCGCGGGAGTAATTTTTTTTTCTCACAGACCTGCTGGGGAGGCGTTTATTCCTATACAACAGAAAGCTCTGTGCTATTGACTCATTAAAAAGCAAAGGCTTTCTAACGTCTGGAGACCTACGATTATTTGGTTTAAAGGAAACGTGAGCCACTCTCGTCTGAAAACAGAACGCTGTGGTTGTGCTGATGGCAGCAGTTACAGCGTTATTTACGTCACCTGTGGGTGATTGCCAAAGAAAAAACCGCAAAGTCTTCATTAATCAGTGTCCTTGTCTATCCGTCTGTTTATTATTATGAAGATCGTGGCTTGAGACACCTGAATCAGAACAGGAAAACAATGTGACTGTGGGGTTAAAATACAACCATCTTCACTACTTAACTAATACTTAGTCACAAGGATTTACCATGAACTAAATCAGCTACACAAACTGTCCGTTGCTGCAAGAACTCAGGCTTTCTTCAGAGAGTCACCTCCTATCATCTCTTTCGTAATTTGCGGTCGTTTACGGACGAAATCCCAATAAAACTTTTTATCAAGCCTCCCACAGGCCAAACAACCGACCACACAGCAAGAATAATCCATCTGCTTCGCTAAATCCTCCTCCAAGTACGAACACTGAACCTAAACACTGACGTCACAAGAGATCCTCCTATAAATCAGACAGATTCTAAGCCTTCACCTATCGTCACCCATTGACAGAATCAATATCACTTGCTAACTCATCTGCAGTTTAGTCTAGTTGACACAACATGATAATTGGGATTTTTAATCCGATTTTTCTCCTTTCAACAACCTTAAAGTTAACCTTGTCAGATATTCCTGCCGTGTGTCTGCTCAGAGGGGCTTTGTCACTGCTCCGATCACAAATCTGGGATATTCAACGTGTCGGATTGTCTTGGCCCCATCCCAAGAACTAGCAGGAGTGCTGCCTGCTGAATAAGACAACCGTCTATTATAAAAGCCATCCTAATTCCACACAGAAAGGTCCTCGCTTAAAGCTGAACCAGATCTTTGGTGTGGGGAGGTGATGGTTTGACCGCTGAACCAAAATAAAATCTATAGTTTACATTAGTTATCTGTTTGTTTCTGTGGATTTCTAAATCATTTTAATTACATACAAATGACTGGTGTGTCCACATTCATGTGGATGAAGCATGTGTGCTGGCCTCTAAGGACTGGGCCACTGGGACTATGAATTAGTTCTGTTTGTTAAACGCTTACTTGCATGGTTAGGCTGGCAGACATGCCAAAGCTGGGCACTGATGGTAGACCATAGCTGTTGGATAAAACTGGATCGGATCTTGCCAGCATGGATCCTGAAGAGAATGACACTAGAAAGAAACACGAGCATCACGATAGTGGTACAAGAAACCCTTAAACTCTGTGGTGGGACTTGTTTCGCTGTAGAGGTCTAGAGATAATCTTATTTTAGTAAGAACTCTGATCCAGATCTTATTCAGCACAGTTCAATAGTCTCACATCAGACAATGTTTACTCAAAGGAACAGTGTATACAGTCGTGGAAAAGCCGCTAAAGCCAGTACAGTACAGTTAGAAAACCCTTATCATGGGCAAAATGTTTGTACTAAATTAAAAACAATGTCAGTTGATGAGGAAATGAATGTGAATAAAATGTCACCACAACTGGCCAACTGCTGCAACTAGTATAATTGGTAGTGGGAGTAATACTAGAGGTAGTAGTAGTAGTACTAGTAGCAGCAACGCAATGCAGTAGCAACGCGTGTTTAAACAGCTTCTTCACTGTTTAAATTTCACTTTGCAAAACATGCTGTTGCATAGCTGAAGAAGGATTTTTATGGTTATTTTTGATTGACATGAGGAATTTCCATCCATCCATTATCTGAGCCCGCTTGTCCACGTAGGGTCACGGGGGGGTCCCTGATTTGTAGGTATATTGGCTAAGTAGAGTTCGTTTTATTTTACTATTTTAGTTGCTGCAGATTATTCCAGTTGTGTTTAATTTTCCTTGGTGTAAATACATTTGTTTTTTAACTTTTAAATAGGGCTGCGCAGTGGTGCAGTGGTTAGAGCTGTTGCCTTGCAGCAAGAAGGTCCTGGGTTCGCTTCCCAGCCTGGGATCTTTCTGCATGGAGTTTGCGTGTTCTCCCTGTGCATGCGTGGGTTCTCTCCAGGTACCCCGGCTTCCTCCCACAGTCCAAAAACATGACTGTTAGGTTGATTGGTCTGTCTAAATTGTCCTTAGGTGTGTGTGTGTGTGTGTGTGTGTGTGTGTGTGTGTGTGTGTGTGTGTGTGTGTGTGTGCATGATTGTTTGACCTGTGTTTCTCTGTGTTGCCCTGCAATGGACTGGCTCTCTGTCCAGGGTGTACCCCGCCAACTTGCCCGTTGACCGCTGGAGATAGGCACCAGCACCCCCGCCCTACCATCACCACCACCACCCCCCACCCCAGGCCCACAAGACAGCCTGGATCGTAACAGCAGGTTTGAAGTTCTGAATAACTCACCAGGGACGCAAACCACCTCCACTGCTGTGAGCAAATGCTGAAACTGACAATCGCAGCAGGTCTAAAGCTTTGAATAATACACCAGGGATGAAAACACCCCTTGATGGTGAGCAGGTGCTGAGACTGTGTGCTTCTGATGTAAGAGATGCTCTAAACAGAGCATCTGATCAGGATGCCTCCTGGACGCAGCAGAGCTTGGTAGCATTCCAGGTCATGAGTTGAAAATGTGTGCAGCTGTGATCTCAGATCGTTTTACATACATGTTCAACACCTCCCTCCAGGGCGACTGTAACACTAACACAGTTTCAATCCTCCCAGTGGCTAAGAAAACACTGTCATCCAGACTTACACAGCCTGTGGCCTCTGACCTCTCTTAACCCTTTGATGCATGAATTATGAAATCTTCAACCATAATTATTTAACAATTTTTTTCATTCATCTTTAGGTGTGAATGAAACAAATTTCAACAAATATTTTTTGCAACATTTAATAATTTACAAATAATTTATTACATGTCCACCTCAGTGGACAGCGTGCATTCTGAACATGAAATATGTTGGCTTGACTCACTGAAGTCCACATGGAGGGGCTCGCAAGCAATAAAGTCTTCAACAGCTGTGCTTAATAGCAAAAAAATAATTAAATAACTATTTTGAGTACCTGTCCACTGTAGTGACCATTATGCATCAAAGGGTTAAAGGTAACATTAAAGCCAGTGTCCCACCTTCTCTAGACCATCAGTTAGCTTTTCATGCCAACTGGCCAACAGATGATACAGTCACATGCCACACATCTCTATGCCAGGTTGAGAGTCTCATCAGCCTTTAACATGATTCCTTCCTAGCAGCTCACAGTGAAGCTCTTGTTGCTTCAACTGAAAACATGTTTCTGTAACTGATCTTAGATTTTCTGTCAGGAGGACAGTAGATGGTTTGTACTAAGCACAGTAGTCCCTCATGGACATGCACTCGGACTTTGTTCTTTACTCTGCCAAAACATGGCCTCACTGCTGAATTCGGCATGAACCAGCTTCTTAAATGTGCTGATGGCAAACAGTGACAGGACCAGCAAATACAATGAAATCTTACAGGACTGAGGTGGGACAGTTACTGAGCTGGTGTGGAGACAACAGTATGTCCACTTGCATCAAATCTTTCTCTCCTTGTCCACAACTTGTTTAACCTCATGACATGTAGAAGAAGGCATGTCTGCATCTGAGAATAAACCACTAGAATGTGTAGCAGCTTCATTCTTTAGGAAATAAGGTGACTATGACTATTTTAACACTCATTTGCACATATAGGCCTTTGTACAAAATGAAAGCTAGTCCATAATATCTTTATTTTTAAGACATTCTGATAAATTAGGGTTTCTAAGGTGGGGTTTACATGAGCAATTAGCAAGGTTTGGGGATTTAGCACATCACTTATTTCTTTGATAGAAAAATCTATTTTCATACAAATTATAAGACAAACTGCTTTTAGAGAAGTCAGAGACGATATCTGATGTTATTGTGATTGACATCAGCCTGGTGACCACTGATATTATCAGTGAGAGTGTTTTTGTTGTTGTATACACTTGTCAGCACCTGGTGTAGCTGGTTGTGATAGAGCCTGACAAGCAGAGCTGCTGAAGCTGCTGCTGATGGGAACATGGCTGGAGGAGCTGGACACCTGACGGCGCTGATTCCTTAACTTCTCCTCTCTTCTCCACTTTGCTCGTCTGTTTGAGAACCAAACCTGCACATAACAGTAAAAAGAATACAAAGGGAAGGTAAAACATTGAAAATACATTATGTGCATCATAAAGACCCTCTACCCCAAAACAAGTATTAACTCATTCACTGCCACTGACGACTAAAGTCGTCACTGGCATGTTTTTACTGTGTGGGCGTCGGACGAGCCCCCGCACCGTGACAACAAACATCTTAGCTCTGATTTCGATCTTCATCCGCGTACGTCACACGTCACGTGATCAGGAAGCAGGAAATCCATGTTTTAGGAGATCGTTTTGGGCCGCTGCTGTAAAAAAAAAGTGAGGTGCGAACCGGAAAAGCTTCTGCTGATCACAATTCAACAACGGATTATTAAAGAACGGATAAAGCGTCGAAACGCGCAGATTCTTCCTGATGTAAGAGGTGAGTCTCTGCTTTGTTTTTTTTTGGGGGGGGGGGGTTTGCGTCAGCATCATCCTGGCGCGCAACGTTCTGTGACTCTTAAGAAAACAGTAAAAATGGTGAGAAACACTGACAGCGAAGGGCTTTACCGATCAGGAAACGGCTGACAGTGAATGAGTTAAACAAAGGTAAAGTAGTGCCTGAGGTAGTTTTTTGTTATCATTTTTGGCTAGTTTAGCCGGGTTTATACTGGTACAAGACCTGTTAACTTGTATGAAGGTTAAACAGAAGGTGGGTCTCATAAAGTGCTGCGTTTACAAAAGTTAAGCTAAGGATGTAAGGTTACGTTCTCCCTGCTATTGTTCACCAATGAATTCACCCTGCTGGAATCCCAAGGTGTTCCCTGGCCAGTCGAGAGACATAGTCCCTCCAGCGTGTCCTGGGTCTTCCCTTGGGTCTCCTCCCAGTTGGACATGGCCGGAAAACCTCACCAGGGAGGCGTCCAGGAGGCATCCTGATCAGAAGCCCGAGCCTCTTCAACTGGCTCCTCTCGATGTGGGGGAGCAGTGGATCTACTCCAAGCCCCTCCCGAATGACCAGACTTCTCACCCTATCTCTAAGGGAGAGCCCAGCCACTCTACAGAAAAAAATCATTTGGGCCGCTGGTATCTGCGATCTCGTTCTTTCGGTCACTAGACACAGCTTGTGACCATACGTGAGGATAGGACTGTAGATCGACCAGTAAATTAAGAGTTTTGCCTTCTGGCTCCAAACAACCCTTCTCCGGGTCAAACAGTCGTTGCCCAGATGAATGTTAAAGTTCCCCAGCAGAATGAGGGAATTACTGAAAGGAGCTCTCTCCAGCACCCCCTCCAAGGATTCCAAAATGGGTGGGTAGTCTAAGGTGCAGTTTGGTGCATAAGCACAGACAACAGTCAGCACTCGTCCGCCAACATGTAGGCGAAGGGAAGCTGCCCTCTCGTTCACCTGGGTAAACCCCAGTGTGCAGGCACTTAGATGGGGACAACAAGATGCCTCTCAGTGGGAGCAACTCCAGAGTGGTAGAAAGTCCAACCCTCTGGAACAATATTATCATAATAAACAATTATCTCACATTTCACTACAG